TCCGACTCACTGTGGTCCTCCTGATTTCAGCCTCCCAAGCACTGGGCTTACAGGTGCACGCCACCATGCCCAGTTTCATTAGCTGTCTCAGTGCACTCCAGGGGCGGGGCCAGCACAGCACACCAGCTATCTGGCTGACTCTTGAGAGAGTTTTAAACCTAACTTCCTCAGAGAAATTGGTCTTCCCAGACCTCTACCTCCTACTACCTCTGCCCGCCCCAGGGTCCTATCCACTCCAGGGGGGCTTACCACAGTCAGTTCAAGGGAGGCAGCCTCACCCAATTCAACACTGGGAAACTATAAACAAAGTGCTGACACAGGGAAGGAGATACACAGAGATCAAGCTGTGCTACGTGCATATGCCATCTCCCCAAGATGAATGTGATTATGTATTGCAAACACGAACTAATAAAAGTTTTTAAGTCTATTAATAACATAGCTGGACATGGTGCCACATGCCTCTGATTCCAGTACCGGGGAGGGTGAGGCAGGAGGATCAACCCAAGTTCAAGGTCAGACTGGGGTCAAAATACAAAGATAAAGGGCAGGCTTGATAACTCAGTGGACTAAAGCACCTGCTTAGGCAGAACACAGTGGCCGGGGTTCAATCCCCAGCGTGCTGTGCCAGCCCTGCCCCCCTGAGGTGCACTGAGAAGGTGATTGAGACTGGGCGTGGTGGCACACGCCTGTAATCCCAGTGCTTGGGAGGCTGAAAACAGGAGAATCGCTGTGAGTCCAATCTATGTAGTGAGACCCTTGATCCCCTGTACTAAATGCAAAAAGAAAAAAACATAGATAAGATCAAAATACAAATCTATTCATCACAATTAATAAACAGTGCACACAGAACTAGACAGCAGACCCAGTTCTTCCTGCACTCACAGTACCCTCCAGCCAACACACAGAGTGCACATTCATCCAATGCACACAGCAATCACTGTGCTATGTTTTGATTGTGAAACAAGCCCCTCCAGCCTAAAAGAAATGCAGTCAGCAAAATGTACTCGGAGACCACAGTGCCACTCACTAAAGTCTGGGGGAAAATCTCAGACGAGCAGAGGTCAGCCACATCGACACAAACCACAAATCAGAGAAGCCACAAAAGCCAGACAGGAAGTGGTACATGCTGACACGTATGTGGGATACAGGTAAACAGGGCCCCAGGAAGCTCTTTCCACCGGCATCCTCCTGTCTGGCCTGCTTACACGCCAACTGCTCAGCACGCTGCTCTTGAGTCTCATGACCTTGAAGCTGGCTCTGCTCAAGGTCAGAAATCCACACAAGGTTGATGTACAGAGATCAAGTTTAGGCCTGGATGCTAGGCAGCTCCACATGCCAGTGCTCAACTCCCACTCTGTGCTTTTGCAATTAAGTACAATTACTCATGGTGCAGACCTCATAAGCTGCCTGCAAACACTGCCCTCTAATTTCACATTCCGCACTCAGGATGAGCTCATAAGGCACACACATGCACATTCACAGGCCAGCAACTCCTACGTCATCCTATCGGCCTTCCCATCCATCGGCTCTGCATTCAGATTCAAGCAACATGGATCAGGACTACAGGGGAGCGGCTGTAAAGAAGCCTTCCTCCTTCACCACTGTTCAAGTGATACAGTATAAGTCTCTTATATAGCATTTACACTGCACCGGATGCTACAAGGAATGTAGATTATCACACACAAGGTGGGGGGGTAGATGCAAACATGCCATTTTCTACAAGGGGTTTATGCATCCAAAAGACTGACATCTGAGGACAGGGAGGATCTTGGGAGGCAATCTCCCCAGGACACCTATGGACAACTGTATATACTCAAAAGAAATGCTAATACAGGCAAGGCGTGGTAGCGCGTGCCTATAATCCCCGCACTCAGGAAGTTGAGGCAGGAGGATCGTTAGTTCGAGGCCAGCCTGGGCTACAAAGTGAGCTTAAGGCTAGCCTGAACTGCATAGCTAGACCCTGTCTCAAAAAGACAAAAAAAAAAAAAAAAAAAAAAAAAAAAAAAAAAAAAAAAAAAAGACATAAAAACAAATGCTAACACGTCCCAAGTGACAAGTACCACAATGTTCATGACTGTGCTGGTTTAGACCTGGGGATCCCCCAAAGCCTTGTGTTTGGAAGGTAACTGAGTTCAGCAGCCAAGTATGCTGTTAGGAGGCAAGGCCTGGCCACACAGGCAGTCACTAGAGGTGCCATCTGGAAAGGTCTTATTTCCTTCCTGGCTCCTCTTGGTTTTCTGGCTACCATGGCAGCATGGGCTATTTCTGGCCAGACCCTCCCCACTGCCGGATCTGTATTTGAGTCATTCATGGACTATAACTCCTGAAACTATAAGGCAAAACAGACCTCTCCTCTCTTAAGCATGAGTTCTGTACTGTCTCCCAGCAATGCAGTGACTAAGCTGATGACAGCCTGTCCCTGCCGGCTGAGACTGGGAAGCTATGCCAACGACCACCAGCAGACTGGATATGCTGCACATCTGCACAATGGCAGTTAGTAGAACAGCGAAGGAATGCTCCCTGGGCCAACACTCGGCATATCTCAGGGCTGAGCAAGAAGCCAAATCACAAAAGGTAAACTGAGGTCAGAACAATGGTTGGGTTGGCCATTGACTTGGGAGGGAATACAGGGATGTCTTCAGCAGGTAGTGACACTCCCAATCACACACAACACTGCAGTCCAAGGAAAAACACAGAGGCTCCAAGAGCTAACAATGATGGTCAGACTTCTTTTAATCAACGAAAGACGTTAGAATAAAACCAAGCAATGTTCTCAAAAGGAAACTATACAGAAACTAAAAGGGAACACAAAACAGGCATATAGACTGAAAAACATTTGAGGGGATAAGCAGGCTAAGCCTTCCCAAAAGACATGGAAATGGAAACCTGTGAATGAGGAAACTGCTCTGACCCAGTCTGTTGGGCAATAGCTCTGATAACAGGGCAGTGATGCAGGATTGAGGAAAGGAGAAAAACGGGGTGAGGCAATAGAGGCAGAGACTTTAAACACAAGATAGGCGGGACTCAGGTTGACCTATTGTAAGAAATTCCTGAGGGCCAGCCTGATAGCTCAGCAGACTAAAGCGCCTGCTTAGACAGGGCACAGCAGCCGGAGTTTCAATTCCTGGCGTGCTATACCGCCCCAGCCATGGGGCGCACTGAGACAGCGAATGAGACTGAGCATGGTGGCGTGAGTGTGTAATCCTAGCTCTTGGGAGGCTGAAAAAAGGAGAATTACTACAAGTCCCATCTACATAGTGAGACCCTGTAAACCCTATCTTGAATACAGAAAAAAGAAATTCCTGGATCACAAGGACATGGGCATATAGGCCACAGGCAGGAACCAAGCCTAGTCAGCTCTATGCCTAAGGACCCCAAAGAGCTGAGAGCCAAGCAGGAAGCCACACCTAACCCTGGAGCCAGTGAGCCAGACATGGCCACAGGAACACCGAAGGGAGGGCAGCCAAGAAGGTACAAGGTCCTTAGACCCCTTCTCCACTCACACTGGCTGCTGGTGCCACTATGTCCCCTGGCTCCAGTCTCCCCTTTGAGGCTCCCCTGCACTGCTGCATAGCTAGGAGCCTCCCCACTGGCTAGCTCAGCAATGCCCTGGGCTGGGCCCTGGAGCCAGATCCTCATCCTACCCAAGGGATCACAGAGGTGGTCCAGGGTGAGGGCTGGGCGCCACAGGTGTGCACTTGGCCTGGCCCAAGAAAACATATGACAAAGGACCAAGATGGAGAACTAGGGACCAACAAACAGAACAGCCTTTTCTAAAGAAGTAACCAGTACACCATTTTGGGGGGCGCAAGGTCTCACTACATGCTTTAGGCTGGTCTCAAACTTGCAGTGATCCTCCTATTTCAGGCTCGACCGAAAATCCACAATTCTAAAAAGAACTCAAGATGGACCAGGAAACTTCTCTGTGAGGGGCACACACTAAATACTGCAGGCCTGGCAGCCTCTGGGGCTTCCGATCTCATTCCTGTAGTCATAGCACAGAGCACAGCAGTTATGTCAGAAGCGTACAGTACTCCCAGACTCTGAGCTTTGAACATGATTTTCACATCATAAAACAAGCAGCACCTGCTCATATCAGGCAATGGGCAAAATCCAGCCCACAGGGCTTGGTTGCAGATCTATGCATGCTTGTGTGTAGAGCCAGGCATCAAGCAGGCCACCCCTGAGCCTCTTCCTTATCCCTGAGGAGCCCTATGTCAAATCAGGGCACCATCAGACCAGGCCTAGATTTTTTCGAAAGCCAAGAACCGATTACTAAGAACAGGTGCTATGCATATGCCACGGTCTGCGGGGTGTGGACCCCTCCACCCTGAGCCGGGAAGGGAGTGGCCTACCAGTCACCAACAGCACTGCCCCCAGATGGAATTGGGACACAAGGCACTTAAGAAATGGAGGTGTGGCGGCCTCGAATCAGGACCATTTCTGGGCAGCCATGTTGTCACTGACACAGTATTGTGCAGTACCAAGACAGGGACAGCGGGCAAAGCCTGGCTCCGGGAATCACACATCTAGCCACCAGCTGCAGCTGTGCATGCACCAAGAAGCTTAAGACCAGATACCAGCTGCATCTGAACCCCAGGACAGAGAAAGCACCTCTTTACTGCTGGATGGTTGGAACCCTGCAGTGTGCACAGAACAAAGTCACAGACCCAGAAAGCTGAGGGCAGCATCAACAACTGTCCCCACCAAGGTGCAAGATCCAGGCCGACAGCAGGGTCCCTTCCCAGCTCAAGAACAGACAAGACCTTCCTGCACAGCCCAGACAGTGGTCACCATGGAGCCAGGCATCACAGGCAGCTACTAAGCATAGGAACCATGCAGAGTCATAGAGCCACTGACGTTCACCTATACTCAAGATTCAGGGGCTGCTATGTGGAACACTGCCTGGAGGTGGCGGCAGCAACGGCCTAACAACTCAGTGGCACCCGCAGATTTCCACACAGGAAGCTGCATCTGACGAGGATGGCCAGCATGGACAGCAGCTGGGCATGGAGGGAACCTGAGCCAGTGCAAGTGTGAGCACACCAACATGAAGAGAAGTGCTCACAATGTCAGCCCACCAGAAAGGCTGGCAGAGGCAAGGGCCTGTGCAGAACCCAGAGTCCAAACAGCACAGCTGAGCCAGCAGGGGCCACCGGCTGCCCTCAGGAGCACAGAAAGCCAAGAGCTGTCCCCAGGTTGAAGGTCAGCACCCCAAGGCTGCCCGCCCAGGCCGTGTCTTCTTGGTTCGTCCTGGGGCGGCCAGTGGAGGGCTCCGCTGCCGCTTCTTTTCTTGCTGCTGATGTAGTCGTTCCTCCTTCTTCTTCAGGTAGGAGCTCATGTTGTCGAAGGTCGCCTTGTAGAGACCACAAAAGCCATCATCCACAGTGGCAGAGCCTGGGACAAGGACAAGAACAATGCAAGGTGGGACACCAACTTAGAACTTAGGACTCAGCTTCTGTCAGGGCCCCAAGCTTAGAACTTCCGCAAGGCCCTCCCAGGATAAGGAGGCAGTGTGGTGACAACCCAGCATCCTAAGTGGACTGGTAGGGGGCTCCGAGGAACACATCCAAGACACTGGCTGGACCTGGTACCTGCTATCAATTTGTGGCTGAAGGGATGGTGTGGGAGTGAGGAACCAAGAACAAAGCACAGCTGCCACCCATGGGCATCCTGATCACACTCTGTACTGCCCACCTGGCAGGGAATCCACCCAGGCTACAAATGTGCACTTCACCTGGGGACGTCTTGGAAAGCAAGGGAAGGCTCAGCAGGAGGCTGGTGCTGGGCAGGGAGAACCGCACCTAAGGGCCCAGTGGGTGGCCATGAGGCCACCTTGAAAGGGCTGCTGAATAAAGCAGATATGGATGATGCAGTGGGATGGACAGCTAGGTGCTGACTCCACTCTGCCTCCAACCACACACGAGGGAGAAGCCAGCATGTCACCCTCTACACCTCACAGAGCCATCCAGCCATCCTGGCAGACAGCTTGGAAACCAAATTTAAGTTCAAATCCCTGGCTGTTAGCTGGAGGTGAGCCTGGCTCCCCAAGGTTTCTTCCCAGCAGCAACATTTTTCCTTCAAGGAAAGCCTGGTCTGAATGGTCCTGTGGCTCTGGCTCCCGGCATGTCCTGGCTGAAGCCTCATCCTCACCCTCTGGGTCACAGAGGCCCTTCCCTTACTTCCCTCACTTCCCACTGGTCTGCTCGGTCCCACAGAGCCTCAACAGCACCCAGGGCTCCCGGTCTCACCTTCCAACACTGCCCAGCTGCCTTGGAGATAACCGCAGAGTCTCTGGGACACGGCACTGTCAGGAACAGGCTAGAGAAGGCAGGGCAGCCAGGTTAAGAGGCAATACAGACACCAATAGCACCTGCCTCAGCCTCAGCAGCCTCTCTACTCAGAGGAAGACCAAAGGGTTTAGGGGGACCAAGGCAGGCAGATAGAGGGCTCTGCTAAGGGGTGTAGAAGTTTACGCGCTTGCCTGACCGTCTGTGACCCCATAAGAAAGGTAGGAGCATTCTCGAGGTAATGAGGACTGTGTGCTCCCAGGACCCCTTGAGGCCCAAGGCCCAAGGCTGAGGCACTGAGCCTGTGTTCATGACACACCCAGTGCTACCTTATCACTAGAAAGACACGTGGAGCAGGACAAGGTGATGGATCATGGCAGGGACAGGCTGGTTGAAGCCTGGCCATCACCCCAGATCATGGGCCTGGGAGTTGACACCGTTAGGTGGGACAGGACTCAGGGAACAAGAAAATCAAAGCTGCTATCCCACCACTGGTCTAAAAAGACAGCAGGCCCCTGACACCCAAAACAACAGCCTTACCTGCCACTGGCCACCTGCAGGCCTCCAGAGTGCCAGGGGCGCCTCACGACAGTCCTGAAGGACCCACAGCCCCTGTGCCTCCTCAAACGCAATGTCCCACACATGATGCGGGAACTTCAGCTGCTGTTTGAACACCAGCTGCTGTCTGCAGGCACTGAGGTGGAACACGAAGACCACCGGAAGGCTTTCCAGGGAAGAAAGGATGATCAGCACAGCAACAGGATGCATGTTTGTCCTAGCCCTCACCAGCCCCATCCACAGGACAGCCAAGCCAGGAGCCCCAGCTGAGCCTCTCAAACCACTCAGCAAGCATCACTCAGTTGCAGCCACCCTCAAATATGACCACTGGGTGGTCCTAGCCCCATCAGTGTGCAGGGAAGACTCCAGGATGCAATGACTATGAAAAGCCAGACTGGAAAAGACCTTCACTACCGGGGGAGGCTGAGCCCACAGTACCCCACAGGCCTCTCCCCAGCAGATCCTGGTCCAGAACCATCCACCTACCGCTCCCCTCCCACAGGCTCACCAGTCACACAGAAGCGCCACACAGCTCTCCTGGCTCCAGAACACAATCCTGGACACGGCAAACCTCTGTGGGGAAAAGCAGCTGCTCACTGACACTGCCCGTGCCCACTGAGGAGGACACTTGACCCACATGCAGTAAGCAAGCAGGGTGGGGAAGGAGGGCAGTGGCTGCCACCCCATTCCCCTACCATGCCCAGAGCCTCTGAGTGACCCCAGCTGGCCTCCAGAGCCTGGCAGTGCCTTGAACTACAGAACAGGTGAAATGGCAAGAAGACAGGAGCAGAGCACACAGGACAAAAAGGGGTGATGAGACAGTCATCCATTACAAATAAAGGATCCTCAGAGGTCCCATCCCCAAAGTACTGAAAGGCCCACTGCTACTGCACTCCCTGTTGGCCCGCAGAAGGCAGAGGCCTTGCCACCCAGTGAGAACCCAAGCTAGCCTGTGGAGGATGTAAACTACCTTGTGTATGACTATCTTGTGGTACCTGGGCTCAGCTGGCTCCTGCAGTCTGTCCAGGTCACAGGCTGCCCAAGCCAGGCCATAGGACAGTGCAGGCTGAGGTGGCCCTGTGCTCACCTGCTCACAAAACATACATCTGGGTTTTGGTGGCTGCTAAACAAGCCCCACTTCTTTCTACTCCCAAGTAGAATTCAAGGATTTCCTGTAAACTATGTACAGAAATACAAATAAGGCTAGGTAAAAATTACTTATCACCTATGTGACCAGGCACCTTCCAAATATGAAAACTACTCTTCTCCCAAGCGAAAAGCCTACATCAATATCCAAGAAGTGTTTCTCATGGTTACATGGTATGCCCCACACAACCAAGCACACAAAGTGGTGCCCTGTGAGCCCCATGCCCTAAGCCCCAAGTACAGTGTGTGACTTACCTTGTGGCCCTGGGGCTCGGCTGGCTCCTGTAGACTGGCTAGGTCACAGCAATACAGCTGGCGGCCGTTCTTGTACTCCCAGAGCCTCAGGGTGCAGTCCTGCACAGACAGATGGCTTAGCACAAGGGGTCTCAGGGGCTCACCAAAGGCACAAAGGCTCCCAGACAAGAGGAACAGGACACTGATGGTAGCCACATGTGGTCAGTGGAAGTTTCCCCTGTGACAGCCACAGCTGCCACCATGAATTTAAGAATCCCATAAAGACACAAAACATCCAAAAAATAGACCATCTCAGCAAAGTATGCACAGAACCCATGACAGCCAGACTGTCACTGGCTAGGAGGTTAAAGTACACAAAGAGATGTACACACAGAGATGTACACACACTACAGTGGTCATGTATACACATGGGAGAAATGTGTAGGGCTAGTGTGTGGCATGCAAGTCATTTCTCTGTGTTAAGAACGGGTGACCATGGAAAATCCTTTGGCTAATGGCCAGAATGTCAGAGATTCAGGAAATGACCACAGGGACTAGGGCCACAGTGCACTGGACATAATTCTAAGTACAAAATAATATTCACCACAGTGCTGCTTTAGACAAGAGGACAGAGAACCTGCAAATGCACAGTGGCCATGAACGAGGCAGAACCCTGGGCATCTCTAAGGCAGAGGACGAACCATGCTAAGCGGGTGCCCCAGGCCCACAGCCACCTCCAAGACTTGCTTCTGACTGAGTCACGTGTGCCACGTGCATAGCTACATCGCTGAGGAAAATGACAGCTTCATATTTGATGCACACAAGCAAGAACACAAATGAGAAAGGTGAATGGTATGCGTCGTGTATACACACACACACACACACACACACACACACACACACACACACACACACGGTTAATGCAGATAACGAAACTCAATGACTAAAAGGAGGTGAGAGACCCCAGCAAGGGCAGCCCCAAATAAGAACCCTCTGAGCTCATAAAAGAGCACTAAAAACAGTGGCTTAAAATATTCTCAATAAAACAAAAACTTCCATAGAAGGTTGGAAGATAAAGATGAAGCAATTGCCTGCTTAGGCAGAGTGCAGCGGCCAGGGTTCGATCCCCAGCATGCCATGCTGGCCCCGCCACTGGGGCACACTGAGACAGCAATTAAGACTAGGCATGTAACCCTGTACCGCAGTAGATCCTTTGTCAGTGTCAGCCATATGGATGAGTCACAGCCACTAGGGTACTTGACTGACCTTATCAGATACAAAAGTTACATTTCTTGTTATATAGGTCTTGCTTTATCTTGGTCTTAACCATCCAGCAGAAAAGTATAAGAATAAGGTATATAAAGTAAAGCCATATTAATATGCTGAGCTGTGAAAGGCTCAAGTCAACAACTTCTGCGGATAACCCACTACTATTGTGGACTGCTGGATTGTTTTGCTGAATTTACACACCTATAGTATTTAGATGTCAATGGAATACCCATTTCTGACAGGACTAAACAAAAAAAGGGGATTCAAAGGAAGGACCATTTTGTATTCGTATATACAGAATAGTTAGGATAGATATAGTTACTTTTGCTTAATTCAATGAGAAAAAAAATTTGTACTAATAGTGTTTGGACAGGATATCCTGTCTGCATCTTGTACTATGGATAACCACTAAGAAGATAACAATGTACAATGTATTAATTATTGAAACTATCCTATTAAAAAAATATTTAAGTTAAAAAAAACAAATAAATGAATAAATTATGTATTCAAGGTTTCAAAATTGTTTTCCCAAGGAAGTTAAAAGTGATTCCTCTAGTTCTGTTTATGGTTCTAATTTTCAAAGCTCACTAAATAAAACTTTGTCAACTTTTCAAGATTTCAGTTTGAGCTGGAATTATAATATATTTAGGAAATTACAGTAAGATTAAAATGAGAAATTGGCAGAACCTGCACATTCTATAAAAAAGTTAAAGTGATAATAATAATAAAAAGACTTGGGTGTGGTGGCACCCACCTGGAATCCCAGCACTTGGGAGGCTGAAAACAGGAGAATCACTGAGTCCAATCTACGTAGTGAGACCCTATAGACCCTGGACTGAGTATAAAAAAAAAAAAAAAAAAAAAAGATGAAGCAATCTCCCAAAAAGCAGAAGAGTGAGAATACGGGTGAAATTGACCAGGAGAGAAAAATTAGAAAATTAAAGCAATTCAACAACAGGCTAATCAAGTTTAGGGGAAAAAAAAAAGTGGTAGGAGGCACAGGAAGCGAGAGAATAAAACTTTCCCAGGACAGAGGGGAGTGAGGATCAGGCACAACACACCAGCAGTACATGCAGACTGCTGTGGTCCTATCAGCTTCAACATGCAGCAGGGCTGGGGGAGAGAAGACCCCAATGTTTCCAGTTACAATCACAGACCCTACGCCAAAGAGGGCCTGAAGCAGGATGGCTTTAGACTTGGACAGGAGGTGGAGAAAGGGAGCAAATGAAAAACCAAGTAGAGCACACAGCGGGTGATGCTGTCAGGATAGAAAGAGCTCAGGATATAGTGTTTGCCCTCATGCATGAGGCCCACAAAAAACCAAACTGACACTAGCTGGATGTTGTGGCTCAGGCCTGTAATTCCAGCACTGAGGAAGCTGAGGCAGGAGGATTGCCATGAATTTGAGGTCAGCCTAAGCTACATAGTGAGTTCAGAGCCAGCCTGGACTACAGTATGAGATCCTGTTTCAAAACAAAACAAAACAGGAAAGAGAAAAGAGAAAAACAAATGACACCGAACTGACAACCTAGAATCTTCTAGGATAATGGGATTTCCAAAAAAAGAAGGCTCAAAAACATGGTATTTTGTATGCCTTGTGAAAATCTACTGTATGACACATGAGCCACCAAAACACAGCAGTCACTATGGAGAGACAGGGCCTTAGGAGAGCGCTCTGTGCACACACTGGGAGCACCCTGGGACCCTGCCACACCAGTCTCCTTCCCTCTATGTCCACATGGGGAGGGGCAGGAGGAGACTGAGCTTGAGGAAGCAGAGCAGATGCCAGGGCCGGAGCCCAGTGAGGCACAGGGGGTGCAGCTCAGCAGTGGCACCTGCAGGGGCAGTCACTCCATGCCACAGAAAACAAGTGGTGTGGGGCCCAGCTTTGTGAAAAAGGGAGAGCATTCCAGAGAAGCCCCCTCAGAATGAAATCTCTGACACTGGTGCTGAAGCCTCCAGATCAACTTTGGTGGTCGGGAAGTTTTCTTATTCAAATGGCATGTGGCAGAGGCCCAGCAAGAGACCCACAGGTCCTCTGCACAGCACCATCTGCCAGACAAGGGGGCCAGACCCCAGGAGACCCCAGGAGTCAGGAGGGGCCTCCCTGCCAGCTATTTATGAGACCCTTACATGGTCACCTGTCCCCTGTGTCAGGGCAGATGCCTTCCACATTCTTACAGAGATGGGCACACAGGATACTACACATACCCCACATGCTCACACACACCACACTCAGCCATACAAACACCCACCAACACCACACACTATGCATACCCATACATAACACATTCACACCACACCCCAGCCTTACACTAACATAGACAGCCACCCTATGTATCTATACGTAGACACCCCCTATGCACTACACCATACACACCCCTATACCACACACAATACACAAACACACACTATCCACATCCTGTTTCCTCACAAGCCTGACTGGCTGTGGCCAAGCAGTGAGCCAGAAGCAGCTTTAAGAATCAGGAAACAGGTACCATCTACTGAATGAACTCTACTGACCGAAGGGATGAATGGGCCCAGCAACAACACTGCCAGACACCAGGGTGGCTCACTGTGGGTTTCACCATGTCCACAAAGGAAACTCACCCCAGAAGAGGACAGCAGCAGCTCCGGATGGCCAGGCACCACCAAGATGCGGCTCACAAACCTAAAGGGTAAGAGGCAAGGGTGAGCCCAGGCTCTGGGGTGCAGTGACCACCTAGGAAGGAACCTCTCCACTGGCTCCCACCATCAGCCAGGACTGGGGAGAGCCTCTGGAGTGACAACACGTGGCAAGGTACCCAACAAGGACATACTTCTCACCAAGGGCAGGGCTGATGCACTCCCAGGGCACTTGTGGGGAGCCCGAGAGCGTGCTGCCCTCCACTCCTTCAGTCCTTGCACAGAAGGCAGGTGACAATAGATAAGCTGTGGGGCAGAGCACAGGAGGGAGCAGCCCCACCAACAGGCAGTCAGATCAGCTCACAGCTAGGGCCAGAGCCTGTACAACCAAGGGACTTGTCTACCCTGAACCTAGCTTGCCCATGCTCAGGCTGTAGCAGCACGGTACAGAACACTGCAGCCACCAGGAGTGATCCCCAGGAGACCTCAAGGATCCCCAAGTTGCCTCCAGCAGCTTCCAGGCCCGAGCCCCCTGCTAACCCAATTTCAACACAGCCTCAAGTGATTGTTAATGTACAGCTCCCACACAGGCTGGCCTGGGCACCCTTAGTCCCCACTAGTCATGGCTCCCCAGCCTCTGAAGCAAAGACCCTGGCACCTCCACAGGTTGCCTCCTGCAGGGAGTGGGCTCCAAACCTCAGGTTCTCAGGAGGGAAGACAAACCTTGTCCAGGACAGGAGAAGCCTGCACTCATGCCAGGGGCACTAGAAGCCTCCAGGAAGCCACAGAAAACAGCAGAAAGCAGTCTCCAAGCGTTTGAAACAAAACAATCAATTGCTGCAAAGTAGACCTATCCAGCAGCAAGCTCTGACCAGATCCACGGCAAAGTGCTCTTAGAACCACTGAGTGCTGGGGACAGTATGAATGGATGTCCACATACTGTCACCAGCTCAAGGGGACATCAGCCCCAAGCGTGACCCACAGAGCTCCAGGTAGGCTAGATACCTCACATAAAAACCAGAGGAACAGGCAAAAATGAACTAGGACTATCATGGGCAGGTGGAGTTCAGAGATAGCATGTGTCTTGCAAACAGGAGTTCTTGGGTTCTATACACACACACACACACACACACACACACAAGAGTAACAAATTTTGACAATTTTTACTTAAGTTAGTATATCCATGTTACAATACCAAGTGTGGTTGTGCACCCTTGTAATCCCAGCACTCAGGAGATTAAGGAGGATAGCATGAACTATAAGGAGAGACCCTAATTTTAAAAAAGATGTATCAGGGCCAGCAGGATAGCTAAGTGGACTAAGCGCCTGCTTAAGCAAGTACAGGGACTGGGATTTGATCCCTGCTTGATCCACATGCCATGGCGGCCCCACCCCCCAGACTCACTGAGCCAGTGACTGAGTCCAGGCGTGATGGCACATGCCTGTAATCCCAATGCTGGGGAGGCTGAACACAGGAGGATCACCAAGTCTGAGCTGCATAGTAGGTCCCTATACCAAATAAATACATGAACTTTAACAAAAAAAGGTATATTCAGAATATTTCCCTGAAGGACTGGCTGGGAACGCCCAAGAGAACAGGTAGCATCAGACAGAAGCTGAGGAGGTGAGGGCAGTGTCTCAGGAAGAGCATTTGTGGGCTGAAGCAGCACATGAAAAGGCCACAGAGGGTCCTGGCTGAAGGCCTTCAGGTCATGGGCTCCGGAGCTGGTTAGTAACAATTGACAAACAGCTAAATCAGTATCAAAGGCAATCACAAGGCACAGATAGAGCAACAGCACCTTGCTAAAGGAGGCTTCTGTATCCCACTCAATCCAGGAAACAGCAGCAAGCTCAGAGCTGAATGAACTCTCTGGTCACTTCCACTGCTTTAAAGAAAGTGCTTTGCACGCTTCCGACAATTACACTAGTGCTGTGCCCTCTGCGTACTCTGAGAGTACACTCTTTAGAAGTTCCTGGACTCTGTACTCACTCTGTGTGCCCCAGGCAAAAGGACTCGATGCAGTGTGGTGCCTCGGCCCAGCTGACGCGGATCTTCTCATCCCGGTCGGCAGTGAGCACGAAGCGGTCATCAGGACTCAGGGCCTGTGAAAGCAGGGGACAGAAAAGAACAAGGTGATTGGAGGCTTATCCCAGATATCAGAAACCCCACACTCCTCCAAGCAGATGGGCCGCGGGACTCCTTCCATGTAGACCTCTCTGGGTGGCTCCAACCCTGCACCATGACATACGTGGACCAACTCCTATTCCACTCCACCCCACGGGGTCACTGTCTCATGAGCCCTATGTCTAGGCAGTCACTGAGTTCTGCTGAGTGTTCATCCACACCCCACCCCACTATTCATGCCAGGGTCTTCCCAGGTCTTGGGCCTCACTGGGCTGCAGGGTGCTCCAGATACCTGTGAGATCCCAGAAGGGGTAGGCACAGGCAGGAGTGACAAGAGCAGCCACGGCACATGACAGCACTGACAGAGGAAGACAGGTTCACGGCTCCTACCTCCTCTCCAGCATGTCTGAGTTAAGGTCCCTGCCCTGATAAAAGCTGTCTAGCAGTTACAGAACCACAAGACCACCTCCTAACTCCCCTCCCACAACCTGCCTGCTTCCTCCCTCACCTCAGTTCCATCCCAAGCTCTCCTGCTCCCAAAGAGCCCCCTGCCCAGGCCTTGGATGGAGCAGTGACACAAGATGTCCTCCACATACCACGTCCAGGAGCATGGACAGGTGACCGAGCTCAAGCCTGCCACACTCATGTGGCTCCAGCACCGAGAAGGAGTAGACATCACCAGACTTGTCAGCCACCAAGACCCTCTGCTCAGATGCTGTGAAGGTCAGGGCTGTGCACCGCCTTACCACGGACCTGCAAGGCCAGAGAAACACCCCTGTCACTGTCAGACTGACATGGGATCCTCCACAGCCTTTAAGCCACAGGTAGCTCTGCTTCAAATGGCTCAATGTTGACGCACATCGTGCCAGGCAGGCACACCAACCACTCTCATTTCAGTACAGAATGCAGCAGGCTACATGGGACAGTCCACACCACACCATGAAACAGGTTCTGTGTGAGCTCTGTCTAGCACGATGGAGATAGATGAGGCCAAGCTGGGAGGCTCTGTGCGCAGATTTGGTGCAGGTCAGCACCTCTCTTCCAGCTACAGATAACAGCATCAATGATGATGATTGCGACGTGGTGCCAATGTGGTACTCATCATTAACTGGTGCCAGGAGTAAGAAATTGTTTCAGGGGGCCTGCCCATTAGTTCAGGTGTTTAAGTGCCTGCTGAAACAAAGCAGTCAGGCTCAGGATGCTGTGGCTCGATCCCCTCATCCTCAAGCCAAACCAGACCTGCCCTAAAGGCATCCTTCAGGAAAAAGAAAAAAAAAAAAAATTCCTTAAGAAATTGTTTCAGCTGGGAAAGGGCATAAGGCAATGGATACTGACAAATTCTAGCTTCCACATCAAGTAACAGTAATTACTGGGACACAAAATGTTGGTCGACCAGATAGCTCAGCAGACTAAAGCACCTGCTTAGGCAGATTGCAGCAGCCAAAGTTCAATCCCCAGCATGCCGTGTGGACCCTGCCTCCACGGGCACGCTGAGACAGCAATTGAGACTGGACATGGTGGAGTATGCCTGTAATCCCAATGCTTGGGAGGCTGAAAACAGGAGGATCACAAGTCCAATCTGTGTGGTGAGACCTTGTAGACCCTATACTAAATACATAATAATAATAATAGTAGTAGTAATAATAATAATAAATGCTTACATCAAAATGCATCCAGTATGAGAAGCATAGAATTCTTTATCCTATTTTTTAAAATATAATCTAATTTTTAAATGTTTTTTTATCATATTATGTAGGGACTTAAAGTTCAACATATCAATACTTGATGAAAAATACCTGTTCCTTATTATGCCTATGATGTTTGAAATGCAGTGAGATAGTGAGGTTAAGATTGATAGCCCAAATCGTTTGATAATAACAATAAGCTTTTCTTCTGGATGGTTAACAACCTAAGTTTGCAGACCAAATTAGAGAAAAAGGAAGGATACAAGGAAAGCCAACATTTTGGCCCTAACCTTCTAAGGTCAATTAAGACTCAGGACATATGAGAACTTGTACTGTAACGTCATGTACCTCGGTAGTGTCCCAAATTTTCTGATCAAGAAGATTATGGGGCCAAAGAGGAAAGTGATCGATGACGTAGAGTGTGCCTAAGGAGAGTCACATGGGGAGAAGACACTCTCTCAGGCTTTCACAGAGAGCACATTGGCCAAGCAATGGCCGTGACTCATCCACATGGCTGCACTGATGAAGGTTCTACAATCTGAGGTACAGGATCTCAAGATAAATCCTGAGGACATTTTACTGACCTTCTCAGACCAAAAAGCTACAACTCTTGTTGCATAGGTCCTGCTTTACCTTGGTCTTAACCATCCAGTAGAAAAGTATGAAGTCGAAATATAAGAAATAAAGCCATGCTGTTGGGTTGAGCTGTGGGGGACTCAGGTCAATAATTTCTGACATTGCCAGTTAAACAGAAGACCCAATGCTATTATGGGCTACTGGACTCTTTTAGAATATTTTGCTGAGTTTACACACCTATAATATTCAATAACGGAACTTAGAAAAAATGGGATATACTGATGAATGTCCATTTTGTATCTGTGTATTCAAAGAGGTTGGGATAGATATATAGTTGCATTCTCTTAATGAATAGAATGATTTGTTCTAATGGTGTTTGTAAATGGGATCACAAGTCCGCATCTTGTACAGCAATTAACCACTAAGAAGAATATATGCAGTGTATTATTTGTTGAAACTGTCCTTCCGATATGATTTGAAACTGTCTCATTGCTATCTGTTTGTCAATAAAACTTTGAAAAAAAAAAAATGCATCCAGTATCCAATTCCTAGAGTTTCAAAGCAGTCAAGTAGCAAGGGCTACCTATGTGTGAATATCTGATATATATCTACTGGCTGTGTCGTACGTCTGGAACCCATTTATCATGACATGTGGGGACCCCAGAAGCTCTGAAGCTCTTCTGGGAATCTGAGAGACAAGGGACACTGCACATTGAACTGCCCTCAGGGACAAAAAGCACAAGCCACCACCTATTCTGATTCTCTAGCCACCTCTGCCAGCGGCATCATGTGGCACTGGAATCCCACAGAAAGTGCCAGATGGTCCTGCCCCTGTGCCTACTAGGAATGGCAAAGCCAGTAGGGACTGTCACTTTCACCAAATCCCTGATCTGGAGTCCAAGACCTGTCACATCTGCCCACTGGCTCAGTAAACAATGAAGCCACAGCACCCATTCTGTCACAAGCCAGGGCGTCTGCCCCCTCTTGGTCACGGTTCAGAGTGCAGGATGCTACTCTGTCCACAGGCAAGCTTAACACCTGCATGTGTCATTTTATGCAAATATACCTCCCAATATTGCTTTATGCACACACTTAAGACACTCGTCTGCAGGTCACAACAAAGTAGCTGTCCTTGTTTCCTCTGTACCCAAGGACAGGCAGTGGCCACTCTTGACAAAGAGCTGAAAGTGAACAGCTCACAGTCCAAGATGGAGCAGGGCTGGAAGAACAGCATTACCAGCACAGGACCCACACAGGACAAAGGACAGCAGAAGAGAGGAAAGGCCTGGTACAGCCACTTCACAACCTGTCACAGAAGCCACATTGCAAGGACCATTCCTCCTCCTCCTCTTCCTGCTCCAGAACAGGCAGGAGAGTCATGGGGAGACAGTGACAACAGAAAGACAACTGGGCTCTGGGGCAGGGCTAATCAGGATGCACAAGAAACCACACAGGTGCTACCCATGCACAATGGGCCACCATCTGCCCCTGGCTCTGCAGGGCCAACGTACTCATTTCATGCTCTGCCCCAGACCACTAGGAAGAGACCAGCTGATTCTCAGGGTAAAATCTTCCCAGCCAGAAGCTGTGGTGCAGCAGATGTAGGAATCAGAACATAAGGGAGTTGGGTGCAGAGTGAGGAGTCAGGTGCAGAGTGAACAGGTCAATAGTAGTGTGCAGGCTGAAAGCTCCCACTCAAGCTCTCTCTTCCTTCCACTGAGTCCTAGTTTCAGAGCCCTGCCTTCAGGGCAGAAGAAGCAAGTGCTGTTTCCCACCTGTCCTGCCTCCCAGTCAACCAGAGGGCCAAGTTGTGGCCCGCCATGCCTCTGTGAAGCCATGCCAGGGTACTGGGGGTACTGGGTGCCACTCGTACACTGACCCTTCCTAACTCCTGTACCTAGCAGCTAGACACATAGCCAATCCAGCTCTGACTTCTTGAGCTCTATCCTTAGGTGCCCTGCTGCTCTCCTAGGAAGGAGCCACTGCACAGTTAAGATCACTTACCCATAAGAATGCAAAACTTACAGTGTCACTCACCACCCTGTCTGGGAACCCTGATCTCAGTTCCAAGGCAGGCCAGGGTCTCCCACCGCCCTGACCCTCTATCACTCTAAACTGCCACCTGGAAAACAACTGTCACCCACAACTTATTTGGCTGTGCCTTAGGATACCCAAAGTTAGGACAGAAAAGTGGCAGCATATTACAAACAGCACCGGTCAGCGCTGGGTTCTGGTCCCAGAGCTGGGCTCAAGTGAGTCCCATGGCAGCACAAAGGCCTGGGCCTTCAGCCAACATAAACCATGAGAATATGGAACCCCTAAAATGGAGCTTTATGGTAGAGGGGCCCTGTGGGGGGCCCAATTAGATCGCTGAAGGATCTCAACCTTTAGCAGGCAAAGGACAATCAGATGAGGCACACAGCAGCCCCATGGTGAACTGACTGGCCTGTGCCAGCACCTGCCAACATAAACCATGAGAACCTGTGGTCTTTCTACTCCCACCCACCTGACCGTCCCACAAGCAGTGCCCACATCCCAATCAAACCGCCTCCCCTCTCTTCTGCACCCTCTTTCTGCTAGGCCCCCCAGGCCAACCCTGATGAGACTTCCCACAAGAGAGAAGGACTGTACTCTACCCACAATAATTTTTTTTTTTTTTTTTTTTTTTTTTTTGCTGAATGCCTTCAAGGCATGACTGGCTGTCTTGTGTTGTGGGGATCGAACCACAGCAACCTGAGCCTGACTGCTTTGTTGAAGCAGCCACTTAAAGAACTGAGCTAAGGGGCAGACCCCCTACAATAAATTTTAAGTAGATGGAAAAGGAGGACTGAGGAATCTGCCAAAAGCCTGAGGGATAAAGGTGCCAGCATGCATGCCTACTGTCCTGGAATTTTAATCCAGAGGATGACAAGGTGGTGACATGCCTGTTGCTGAGCTCAGGGAAACCCCTGAGGCAGAGGGGACCCCAAGTCCTCGATCCAATAGCCCAAAAGTCGCCAAACTGCAGCACAGTAAGGTAGGTCTCGCGGGCTCCCACAGACAATGGTAGCTCTCACACCCACCAGAGCTTGGATTCTGTACTCAGATTTCCTGGCTGCACCCAGTCACATCCTGTGCTCCAGAGTCTGAGATGAAAATCTCCCAGTTATCTTGCTGGTGTGAATTTAAAACAAATCCAGTAGTAAGAGCTGGAGATGCAGCTCTGTGGTAGAATGTATCCTAGGATATGTATGGGCCTGGGTTCAATCCCTAGAACTGCCAAGTAAAAATAGACAAAAATTCAAAACAAGAGCAAACAGCTAAATGGAAAAACTGACACCAACGCTACTCTGCCACCTTTCACTCTGCCCACCCCAAGTTTCACTGCCACATGCTGCTTTCAAAATACACAACACTGCTTAAACTGGCACCCTGCACAGGATGAGGATAGATGGGTCGGATTAACACACAGCTCCTGGGGTCTGCACACCCCTGCAGGCCTGTGTGGTACCC